ACAAACGAAAATACAATTCAAGTGGCGACTTATTTGAATTTCAATTCAATTTGCCCTTCGGCGAATCAGTTCTCTGTTTACACATAATTAAGGAATAACATACATTTTCTTTATACATTGTGGACACAGAAAAAAAAAAAGTTTTTAAAAATAATAATAAAATATATTTTTGTTTAATTTATTAATTAATTAATTAGTTAATTATTGTATCATAAATCACACTTGAATATTGCTACTGGTTTCCATACATGGTACGACGCATTAACTTGAATGTTTTGTTTTTATCAAAGAAACAAACATTTGAAATCAACAACAACAACTTAAGATATTATATTTTACAAAATAAAAAAAATACTCAAAAAAACGTAATAACAACAAGTACTAAAACTGTTTTATATATTTATTTATTTAAATGTATTTTGTTGCGTTTCTGACTCTTTAAACTTCCTGCGCAAATGATTTGTGGCTTTTAATTCTTGGAATATTTTTTTTTTGTATTTTTTCGAGAAGGAATGAAACTTTTTGGCTTCCAAAAATCACGAAAAAATGTAAACAATTTAATGTTTTGGATATAAACTTTTTGCACACAGACACACACTCAAATTTCCATAGAGATTAAAACTTGACATGTACTTGATGTACAAATGTTTATATGCCTTATTAATGAGTTTGTTTTTTGTTTGGCTTTTTTCGGATTTCATGTGTGTAGCAGGTTAAAAATCCTTCCTTAATGATAACATATCAAATTCTGAAACATTATCGGGTTTTGGAATTTTTTCATTATTTAAACACTCTCTGCTGCTGCTGTTGACTGTGGCTCTGAAGGAAATAATAAGTTCTTTGACTTATACCCAAGGTAAACTTATTTATTAGAGATTTTTATTCTGGAAAAATTTCAAACAAATAAGTGGTGTAAGTCGTATTATTATTATTATTTTTTTTTTTTTTTTTGAAAAAAAAAAAACAAAAATGGCATGAGTTCTAGAATGGTGTGGAAGGTATTTGATGTAGATTAAAAAAAATATAAAATGTGAATAAATGAAATAATACTGTATTGGTTTAAGTATAGAAAAGTGGGCAATTTTGATATGTCTGCTTGGCATTAGAACTGGCTTTGGAGTCTGAAAATGTATTTTTAATACATTTCTGTATTTCTCAAGCTTCTATGAAATCAGAATGACACAATTAATCTACATAACAAAAATTTATCATTTGGCAATATTTTCTTTATTAAAAAAAAAAAAAAAAATATTGGAAAAATCTGATTTTCGGAAAAAAATTGATTTATGGAAAAGACTTTCCATTCTTCTGCCTTTTATATGTTACCCTTTTTTCTAAAATATTCTATAAAAAGTTTTATTTTTATGCTTTGTTTCAAGTTTTGTTTATTCTCATCTTTAATTATTGCTCAAAGTCTGCTGAAAAAAGCTTCTTTTTCATACTCCGTTTCAAGTTTGGATTTTTCTAATTTTATGTAAAAACATAATTTTTTTTTACAAAACTTTTCTTCCTTAACTCCTACTTTTAAATAAAAAAATAAGATCTCAGAAAGAATAATGAAGTTCTGCTTAAGGCAAAGCTGAAGAAAGAATCTCGATTTTGTGTAAAAAGATTATTCAGGCAATCATTATAGAATCGTAGAATAACTAAAGCTTATTTGAGAAACTCTTATGGTGGGGGTACATAAGCAGCTTGGCATCATGGTTAGGTATATGAATGTCAAATTATAAAGGGAAACGACGGCAGAATTCCAATGCGGCACTGGCATCCCTTTATGATATGTCACAAAGTATGACAAGACTTCAAGCTGTTTATGTACTTACACCTTAAGTCCACCTTTCGGCATCATGCAATAATTCTGAATAGAATGTTTCAATTTTATATAATACTCCAAAGTAACATTAGTTTTTCAAAGACATATTGGAGTTATAGCTTCGACCCCGGCAAAAATTTCGGTTTTATGAAAAAAAAACAATAACTTTCCTCGAACCACTTATGTTTTTTGGAACGGATTTTCAGAAATGTCTGTTTTAAGTATAAATTAGAAGCATATCTCTTAGTTTAAACTCTTTTTATTGGAAAATATTACTGGTGTTTCGTTGGCTTCGTATTGGAGACAAAGTTTATAGATCGGAAATGGGATTTGCTTCTTATCAGAGGCTTTCGAGAAGTTTTATCCTGAACTTTTGTAACATATTCAAATTCAATTCCTTAACAAAATTTAGAAAAGTTGCAGAGCTTTCAATGGAAATTCATTTTTAATAGTTAACTCTTTTCACTCAAAAAAACTTTTAAAAATCGTGCTATTTTGGTGGTTTTATATTGGAGACAACCTTTACAGGTCGGAAAGGGAATTTGTTTCTTATATAAAGCTTTCGAACAGTTTCATCCTGAATTTTTTGACATTACAATTCCAACCAACTTTGGAAGAGTTTCAGGACGCTTGACACTGTCGATCCTTATCCGCTTTTCCACAGAGCTTTTATTAGTTATAATTGGTGTACATTTTAAAGTTTTTTTTTTTTTTTGGCTAAAAAACATTTTTAAGAAATACCATCATTTGAGCATTGAGCAACAAAAAAGGAGAAGCTTTAAATTTATTTAAAACGGAATAAGAAAAATTCTAAAAGCTTTCTATGTTCTAAAATGTATTTTTTTATTATTGCAATATATGAGTTCTAAAAGCTTCAACTTAAACGTTATGATCTGAACATTGTGTTCAAAGTTAAAAAAGCATTCAAATTGTTTATATAGAAATGAATGAATTATAAAAGCTTTCAAAATAACACAGGTATTTCAATTTGAGTAGATTCTAAAAGCTTTCAACTTTGTAAACTGTTTCGAAATTATCAGTTGACGTTGCTAAAACTAAGAGCTTTATTTAAAGTCAAGTCTATATACAAGCTTATAATTTCTCTCAATGCTTTCCTACCAAAAGAAGCTTTAATACGTAGCAATTTCCAAACCTTTAATTATCTTTGATTTGTTTTGTAAGCTTTCCTATTTAGGTGGAGTCAGAGCATAAGAATAAATAATTTCTGAAAAAATTGTACCACTAAATTCCTTAAAAAACTTTTGAGTCTTTTGGAATTTAAATTGGAGCTTTTTACAAGAACAACAATTTCTAAGTTCAAAGTGCATCTATCTGACGAGTGTTGGAACTTTAAGTTTTGTTCTGAAATAAAACTAACATGAGTGGCACAAAAAGACTGAAAGCTTTCCGAATTATTTAAAGCTATTTATATATTCGTATGACTATTTTTATAAATTTTCTAATACGTTTTTCCTATTTTCAGATTCTGCTAAGCTTGATTCATTAAAGCTCCTTACAAGGTAAGTAGTACCATTTTTCAAAGTTGTTGAGCTTTAGACAAATTTACATTATTTATTTTTTTTTAATTTAATTGTTTTTAAGAATTTTAGTTTAAAAGCTTTTTTAGTCGGAAAAGATCGCAATGAAAACTCGTCAAACACTTACTGCGGTCCTAGATTTAATGATTCACCTAAGCTTTTAATTAAACAATATCTTTTTGACCACTTGTTTCCAGATTTTTAATGAAAACCCTGAAATCGCCATTAGAAACTCTATTTATGAAAAGATCCCTTTATTGTTTTCCCAGGTATAATAAATTACCAAAACTATTGATTAGACTTATGAAAGCTTATAATTAAACTTGGGGAAACAATGAAAGCAATTTCACTCAAATAAAGATTTTTAATTGAATTCTTTTAAGAGCTTTAAAATCGTTTAGAAAAAAAAACTCTTTTTAAAAGAGAGGTTTATGTGAAAATGTTTTGATTAGTTTAGTTCGGTTCAAGCAAGGTTCCCCTTGAGTTGTGAATTTTTGGATTTTGGATTTTATCGCTTTATATTTCAGTGGCAATTTTTTACTGATATTTTTGCTGTTAAGAATGAACAAAGCTTTTTTGTAGCTTTTGGTGATATTTTTTAGATGTTTCAAGCTTCTCTGTTTTTTTTTTTTTTTTTTTTTTTTTGCTTTCAGAAAATGTTAGTGTCGATGTCTTGTAACACGTCTGAAGATTTAACTCAAAATCTAAATAGTACTAATCGTCCTAAATAGCTTTTTCTCCAAAGCTTAAAAGCTCATTTCTACGTTGTTTAGCTGCCCATAAAATCAGATATTTTTTACAATGGACATATAGCGGTTACGACTTTCGTACTTTGAATATTTATCTCAAAACTTAAATATCACTCATTGGCATCAAAATCATTTTCTCCAAAGCTAAAAAGCTCATTATGAAAGCGCGTACTTTTTATCGTGAATATATAACTATTTCCATGCTAATTAATGTCTTTGGTTATCTGAAGATTTATTTCAAAACTCAAATAGGTTTCATTGGCCTTAACAGCTTTTTCTCCAGAGCTAAAAAGCTTCTTTCTACACCAGGGAGTCTATGAAAGAGTATAATTTTATCATAAATATATAACTTTCCACTGCTTGATCGAAAAACAATTAAAAGCTTCCGAGACATTGAAGCACAGAAAATGTATTATTTAAGTCCTCATTAGCCTTGAAAGGTTTTTCTCAAAGCATAAAATCTCATTTCTAGGTTATAGCGACTATAAATCTATTTTAACCTTGAGTATACAACTGTTTCCTTGTTTAGTTCTAAAAACTTTCAAAGCTTATGAGATGTTTAAGCAATGATAATAGATAGCAGTCAAGTAATTTTATTTCTGGACTTTTTTAGAGTATTTTTAAAGTCTATAGAGCTTTCAAGCTTTTCATGCCATTTTTTCAAATGAAAATATTTTCTAACTTTTTCTTATTATTTTCTTCCTTCCTTTAGCTTTCTCTCTCTGTGTATTTTGCACAGTTCCTGTATTCCAGCATTCTATAGTAAATTACGTTACATTTCACTTTAACGTCATAGATGCTGTGGGTTTTTCAACAGTTTTGCAAGAGATATTTTACAAAAATTCCCCTTAAGCTTTTTTACAGAAAGCTTTCAACCGGGATTCATTCCAATTCTCAGGGTTTGTTTTTTGTTTTTGGTTTTGCCCGAATTAAAAACCACAAATTCATTAGCTTTAGCCTAGAGATATCTTCTTTTCACTTTAGTACTAATACTTTTGTGGGAATTTGTATGGGGTGTGTGGGGAGACGTTGTGTATGCATTTTTGTAAGTTAGTTTCACTTTGAGCAAAATTTAACTACAAAACATTAAAAATTGGTGTAAACAAAAAAAATTTGTAATAATAAAATAATAAATTTGAACTATGGCTTCCACTAGATTGTAGGGAGTAAAACAATGAAGGAAAAAAAAAGCTGGCTTAACTTGATTTCGGTGCATGATATGTTGACCAAAATCGTAGCAATAATGGCATATCTTCCTGCTGTTGTTGTTGGCTGGAAGTTTCTTGGGGTTTAGCTGTGGTACTTGTTGTTGTCGTTGATGATGATGATGACGATGATTCTTTGTTGGATGAGCCATCTAAACGCCAGGATATGGGTAACCACCAAAAGGATCCATAGGCACTATCATCCGCCACTTCATCATCATCATCATGGGTTTCAATGTTTTCATCATCATTTTCGCCAGACGATTTAGATTCTCTTGTTGAGGTTTCCTCTGGATTGGCCTCTGTACTTGTCGTTGAGGAAATATCTTCATTTGCTGTTGTTGTTGTTGTTGCTTTCTTACCTTGCTTGTAATCTAAACTATTTAAACCATTTATCCGTATAATTTTACTATTTCTATGACTACGATTGCTTACTACTAGGCTAGCAGCATTTGGTGTTGTTGTTGTTGTTGCAGTTGTTTCTGTTTGCCCACTGGAGGTACTGGGCGCAACAGCGGAGCTTTCTTCATTCTCCTCGAAATTGCCAAGTGATGTTTCACTTGTTTTCGAATTTCCGGAAACCTCAGGGGATTTTTCCGTTGTTGTTGTAGTTGTTGTGGTTTTTATCAACGGCATAATTTTCGACCATATTTTTGTTGTTTCCAGTGAATATTTCATGGCAGAACTGGCTGAACTTTCACTTGGTGCCGGAACGGGTGATGTTGATGCAGCGGCTGGAGCCATTGGCTTGGGTGATGTATGAATTTCATTATCAACGTCATCGTTTTGTGATGTTGTTGTTGTTTTTGTCGTTTTTCTTGTTGTTGTTGTTGTAGTTTTCAATGTTGTCGCCTCAGCTGCGGTTAAGGTTATACCTGGACGTTTGCCCTTCACCAATTCATTAATTAAACGCAATTCTTCGGCCAGATCAATTTCACTTGTTGCTGCCGGAGCTTTTGCAGATACCTCTGCTGATGCTGACGTTACTGCTGTGGTAGAAGGCAAAGTGGTAGGCGCTGTTGTTGTTACTGTTGTCGTTGGTGTTTCCTTGGCTACATCAGATTTAAGTGCAGCACTTTCAAGATCTTGTTTGGCAAAGTGTTGATAGTAAAACCGGTCATTACTGGTACTGTTCTTGTTGTTGGCTTTATTGACATCGTTGTTGTTGTCGTTGTTATTGTTTTTGTTGTTGTCAATATTATCGTTGCCATTATTATGGACGGTAAGTAACGGTGTCACTGTTTCTCCGCTTGTTATTAATTCATCCGTTGTTGTCGTTGTCTCATGCTGGCTTGCCATAGCTCCAGATGTAGAAGCTGCCGATGATGCTGTAGTTGTTGTTGCTGGACTTGCTGTTGTTCTTGTGGCCAACACCTCGACCGGTTCTACTTTCGATTTCTGCTTTACATTACGTTGTTGATCTTTTTGTAATTCTTCAAAATCCTGAATCAATTGTTTCTTGTCCGAGGCAGGGGTCGTGGTGGAGGAGGTGGGAGTGATGGTTTCTTCATTTATTCTCGTGGTTGTTGTTGTTGTTGTTTTTGCTCTTGTCAAGGATGATTCGACTGCCTCTTGTTCTTGTGGTATTATTGTTGTAATTTCAATATTACCCTCAATAATGGTGGTATCATCCAATTGTATAGTTGTTAATGGATCTATTGTTGTGGTTTCCACAGCATTATCATCGTCAGCTTCGTCCTCCCTCTCCTTCATCTTCTGCCACATTTCAATATCATTACTCGAGGATGGGGTCAAGGTTGTTGTAAATTCATCATCCTGCTCCTCCTCCACCACTCCTTCCTCATTGACGTACTCATCATACAATGGATTCATGGTAACACTGCGAATAAATTCAGCCTTGGTTTGTTGCTCCACATCATCATCCGCCAAGGTGGTATGACCGCTGCTCATGAGATCCGGTAAAATTGTGGTCATTTCATCAACATTTTCAATTTGAACAACAGGATTTTCTAATTCCATTGGTTGGCTGCTGTTGGACTGCAACAAAGGTAAAGTGTCCAGGGCCATGATGGTTGAGGCAGTGGTATGATTTAACATTGGCATCAGGGATTCGGTTTGCAGCAAGGAATCCAAGTCATGGAAATTACTTTTTTCCTTGTCCCCTTCTTTCCGATTTTCCTCCTCCTCTTCTGTATCCATCATTGTGGTCACCAGGTGTATGGCCGAATCTTCATTGAACAAAGAAATGGTGTGGCGATTTTGATCATGGCCCTGGCCAGAGGCTGGCACCGATATGGCCTCCAAACTTGCCAAATTAAATTCACCGCCAGCTGGTAGGTGACTCAGCGTATGGGTCTTGGAAACATTACTGGCCTCCCCGGTCAAATCCTGGCTATTTGTTACATTCAAAGTTTGCGAAGTATTCACCACCAATTGTTTTTCCTCTTCCATCACAACTGGAGTTGGGGCCTGAGCTGAACCTCCCTCATTAGAAATTCCGGAATAATCTTCCATGGGATAATCATCGGTGGGAAATTTACTTTGAAAAATATTAAATTTCAATGGCTCATCTTGACTGGGTGGTTTCAGTTCCAACACCGTTTCCGTATGTGATTTTCCATCATTTCCAGCCGTCAAATACAGGGGAGGATTAAAGGGCATATTCCCAGCATTACTGGCATCACCCATAACCGGTTCATCTTCATAATCGTATTCCACATCGGCTGTGGGTGCATCACCCAATACCAGGCCCAAGACATCAATCAGCACTGCATTGGAACCCACCACAGTTGGGATACATTTCATATCGACCTGCTGATGACCTTCAGGACACTGTACCCTATGCGGCAGCGTGAAAATCGACTTGGGTGTAACTTTACGTGACTTGATTAGCTGCTTCTGTTCGGGCGGCAGCATTATCCATGCCTGCCATGCCAAATTTTCGGCCGTACTTTCAATGGGCTTCGAGGTTACCGGTAAGGCGGATGTTGTCATCATGACGCTACTCAAGGGCATCACCAGCAAAGTCATTAGCACTTGCAGCGCCACCAGTAGCCGTGCTATGCATATTGTGGGTGTGAAATCCATTTTGTTGGGGATTTCTTTTTCGTTTGGGGTTTTTTATTTTTGTTTTATTTTTCTCTCTCTCTCTCTCTCCCTATTCGTTGTATCTTCTCTTGTGCTTAGGTTTGCTGATTTTGGTTTAATTATTTTTCAATATTAGTTTTACGAAAAAAATGCAAATAATTGGTTTCTTGTATTTTCATAATACATTTAGGGTTTGGCGAACGCATTGACTGGCATTTCAAGGGGCCTCTCCCGTTGTAGTGGTTGGGGATTTTACCCAAGAATTTTGTTGCCACGAAATTATTTGTAGATTGTTGCAGCAAGCGTTTCTGTAAAGAGAAGAATATAGAGAGAGGAATTATTAGTATTTTTAGAAAAGAAAAAAATCTAAATTTTATATGAATTTGGGATCAGATATTAAATTGGATAAATTCATAGAAAAATTTCAAAATGATGGAATTTGTGGACGTGACTGTCCAGTTGTGGGAAAATATTAACAAAAAAATTGAGCTCTGAAACCCCGTTCCCACAATTAAAATCCTTATCCATAAAATTTTGAGTTTAAGGAAAGGGCTACGAAAGTCATGAAAGTGGAAAGAGATCAGAGTGATGGTACAATTTGACAGACTAGTTTGATTCTTCATTGGTTACATTACTAGAGGGTGAGATAAAAAAAAAACTGCAACCCACTGCAGACTGCTGTTATTTCTAAGCCACCGGTCCGACAGCTGTTAAAATTACTCCAGTGACAGCTCAATATATTGTTTACAAGCATAAAAAAGCATTTTGGTGAGCATTTTTCAGAAAACAGTTATTCGGGATGGAATTGAAGCGTGGTAGTGTGATTTCTTTATATTGGGCTGGAAAACCACAAGTGGCTATCGTTGGAGCACTCCAGCATTTAAATGTGAATACATCTTTTGTGTCTCGTACCATCACTCGTTACCGTGATAATGGTAGCGTAGCCCGACGTCAAGGAAGTGGACGAAAGAAACCAGCAATATCAGCAGAAATGGTTCGAAAAGTCAAGAAGCGACTTGTTTGAAACCCGCGTTGTAGTGGCCGAAAAATGGCTCGTGAGCTGAACATATCGCAATATTCCATTCGCAAATATTGAGTAAAGCTATTGAAATTCCAAAAAGTGCAAGAAATTACACCGCAGTTGCTTCGCTTGGCCGAAAGTGGTGAACTGCCGAATTTGGTTTCGTTCGTTGTCCAGCAGTTTGTAAACAAACAAAATGATCGTGTTTACTTGCCAAAGAGGTCAGCTGAAAATGTGCACCTTCGGTTGGACACCAGCTCAACTCAAGCGCCGGCCATTGTGAGTAAAAGCCGAATATTATCGCGAAAATATTGTGGATGGTGTATTAAAGCCTTGGGCACGCAAACATTTTGGCCGCAGACCTTGGACATTCCAACAGGACTCAGCACGCGCCAAAAAGAAGTTCCTTGCTTCATTTCCAGCAGCCACCAAAATCTCCGGATATCAATCCGTTGGACTATTGTGTCTATAGTATTTTGGAAAGCAAGGTTGGCACTAAAAAATATCAAAGTGTTGATCACCTCAAGCAAAGCAGCGTGTGACAGTTTCATTGGCCGTTTGAAGGCCATAATTCCGCAGAGCAGCGTGTGACAGTTTCATTGGCCGTTTGAAGGCCATAATTCGTGCCAAAGGTGACCAATTCGAACAAATCTAAACTTATCCTAAAATTTGATGCTATTTCCGATATTTTTTGGTTTCATTCAATAAAATTTAAGAAAAAAAAATGTAAAAAATTGGCATTTGACTTTGTTTCAGTTTTTTATCTCACCCTGTAACATGATGTCGGATAAAGATATATGTGGGGGCTATATCCAAATCTTAACCTACATCGATAAAATTTGACAGTGGTATTTCTGAGCTGCATTTCATAGATATCCCCAAACATCGTTGTTACGGAGTGCATATTACGGCTGTGGGTAACAAATATAACAAATCGTATATGGGAGCTATAGCTATATCTGAACCGATTTTCACCAAATTTGACATATTTGTTTCTAAGCTCAATTTTGTTGTTAGTGCCATATTCCATCCCAGTTGGCTTAATATTACACGTTTTATGCATAATACTAAAAGGTAAATCGGGAGCTATATCAAAATTTGAACCAATCTCGATAAATTTTAGCAAAGGTATTTCTGAGCTGAATTTGATATATTTCCCCAAATATTGTTGGTACAGGGTGCATATTACGGCTGCGGAGGATAAAAATAACAAATCGTATGAACATTATATATGGGAGCTATAGCTATATCTGAACCGATTTCCATCAAATTTGGCATACTTATTTTCAGGTCTAATTTGGTTGTATGTGCAAAATTCCATAGAGTTCGGGCTGATATTACACGTTTGGTGCACAATAAAAGGCAAATCGGACGAAGATGTATGTGGGAGCTGTATCTAAATTTTGACCGATTATCTCCAATTTCGGTAGGGTTCGTCCTTGGGTCCAACAAATTACTTGTGCAAAATTTCATCTAGATCGGGCAATTATTGCGAACTGTATATTCTTTACAAAAATACATATGTAGTTCTTTAGGCGAGAAAATTGCACCACAAATTCACTATCCTTCTATCAAAACCCATTTAAACCTGCCCATGATTTGCGACATAGGTGCAAACACCAATACCATTAAAATAATCAAATAAAACAATAACAATATTATAATTAAATTTATATTCTGATGTGTTTCGTTTGTAATGCATATTGAGACATAACAACATAGCTCAGGTAATACAACCATCGAATGAAGTAATAAAGTAACGGTGGCTGTGTGTGTGTGTGTGTGTCTGTACCTGTATGCGTGTGATAATGATAACTGCATTATCATTAACATGTTTTATTATTATTATTGTTATTTTTATTGTTATTATTATGATTATGTTGCTGATGTTGTCTATAGGCCTATCTGTCTGTCTGTCCGTCAGCCGTTTACATTATTATGAAATTTGTTAATTTCTGATAAAAAAAGAACAACAACAGCAGCAGCAGCAGAACATCGCATCACATCATTCATATGACCGAGTGCGGGAATGGTGTATCATCATATCTTTCATCTTGTTTATGATGTGATGAATTTTTGTTTCCACCTCTTAGCTCCTCTCAATGTTCTGAAATATTTTTTTTTATTTGATAAATGTTTCAACATTGCGTTAATGTGTTGCTTTTTCTCTCTTTTCCAAACACCGCCTAGGTGTACAAGGTTAAGTATTCATCATCATCATCATCATTGTAGCCAGCAGCAGCCTACTGGTTTTTATTTTCCACTTGGATTTTTTTTTGGTAATTTTATTTGCTTGTTATATTTTTATGGGCTGCAAGCCCACCTCTAAGTGCAATAGAATTATTATTTGGAGAGAGGGAGGAGGTAAGAAAACAAACAATGATGATCTTGTAAGTTCTAAGAATGTTGATGGCGTTCTTTGTTCTGTTGACTCGGTAATTTTTTTTAGCTACATACCAGAATAAAATTGTATGTATTTTTATTATTTTGTTACCGAAAAAAAATGTTAAGTGTTTATTGGAACAATAAATTCGGAGTCTTCTTTCTTAGGTTTGATATGGATGGTTGGAGGGTCATGAGTTAAAAAAAAGTTCTGTCTGCATTCTATCATCTCTGCAACAACAGTAACCGTATGTGATAAGGTTAATGGCATAGCCCCCATTATGCTAACGGTTTTTTTTGTTCTCTGTTCATTTTGACTGACAGCTACTGATGCGCTCCAACCTGTATACTCAAAATAAATTCTTGATGAACTTCACATACACACATAAGTATCTTACAAAATAATATTCCCATCACTCCATTCTTACCACACATTCCGGATGTGTAAATTTTTGATGGATTGTTTCATTGGAAATTTCAAGTGGAAATAAAATGACAGATCTACCGTTCCCATGACTTGATGGAACCAATATGAAATTTTCAAATTCTATGTTCAATTAAATAGAGTGCTTAAGCTATTTCGGAAAGATTTGAATTAATTTCACATGGAAAATAGATATGAAATTTGGAAAGCTGTTTCCAAGTGACACTGACCAGCTGTTCTAATAGTTTGCATTGGATTGGAAAAAAACTAAACAAAATTTTGAATTTTTCAAATTTTGAAGAATTCGAGGAATGGGAAATCTATTTCGATCCTACTTTAATAAGAAGGTAATATATTTATACCCTACAGCACATAGTGGTAAGGGTATTATGTCTTTCTGCATTTGTTTGTAGCACGGAGAAGGAAGAGAAATAGGCCCACAGTTATTTTTGAGGAGAATCACTTTTTGAGTCGATGTCAGTCCGTCCGTCTATATGCCCGTCAGTCCATGTATTTTTGTGAACAGGTCGCATTTAATATCCGATTGTGATGAAATTTTCCAAACAATATTTGTTTGGCCCAAGTACGGACACTATTGAAATTGGTGAGAATCGGTTAAAATTTAGATATAGCTCCCATATATATCTACGACCGATTTTATGCTAATTGTGCACCAAATGGCTAATATCAGTCTACGTGGCGTGAATTTTGGCACGTCCGACAGAATTTAGTTTAGAAGAAAGTACATTAAATTTGGAGAAAATCGGTTCAGATATTGCTATAGCTCCCACATACAGGGTGAGATAACAAAAAACTGCAATAAAGTCAAATGTCATAATTTTTTAATTTAAATTTTTTGAATGAAAGTAAAAAATGTCGGAAACTGCATCAAATTTTAGAATAACTTTAGAATTGTTCAAATTGGTCACATTTGACACGAATTATGGCCTTCAAACGGCCAATGAAACTGTCACACGCTGCCCGAATGTTGGCATTAAAAATACCAAATTGATCGACACTTTGGTATTTTTAATGCCAACCTTGCTTTTTAAAATAATCCAGACAAAATAGTCCAACGGATTGATCGGAGAGCGACCCTAGACTGTTTAGGCCTCCCACACCATCACCATGGCCGGCGCATGAGTTTTACTGGCCAACCGAAGGTGCACATTTTCAACTGACCTCTTTGGCAAGTAAACACGATCATTTTGTTTGTTTAAAAAACGCTGGACAACGAATATTTTCTCATCGGAGAAAACCAAATTCGGCAGTTCACCACCTTCAGACAAACGAAGCGACTCTTTAGCTCTTTTGAGTCTATTTTCTTTCTGTTGCGGTGTAAGTTCTTGAACTTTTTGGAATTTCAATGGCTTTATCCCGAGCTCATTTTTCAATATTTTCCGAATGGAATATTACGATATGTTGAGCTAACGAGCCATTTTTCGGCCACTGCGACGCGGGTTTCGATCAAGTTGCTTCTG